TGGTTTCAGCCCCACTATTTTAGTCCATTGGAATGCTTTAAAATGTTGGTGCAAACTGTTTGATATTTTCTCTGGCCATCCTTTTACAACTCTAACCCTCCCAGATTTGAAAGTATGTCTTGCTTTTTATAGTTATAACAAAATTGCTGATTAAAAAAAAAAAAAGGAGCACCTTCTCGGCAGAACCAGCCCAGACTCCCAGTAAGAGCATCAAGGGGACGCCCCCTCACAGTGGCCCATCCCGCCACGCTCTCCCCATCCTAGTCAGAAAGCTGCACCTCACTTTTGATAAAAGAAAAACATGCCAATTCATCAGCCTAGTCATCCTATCCCAAGAAACAAACCAAGGTCCTGACCAGTGTGGCTCAGTTCAACTCCTAATTGGGGCACATGCCTGGGGTGAGGGCTCAGCCCCTGGTCAGGGTGTGTGGAAGAGGCAATCAATTGATGTTTCTCTCTCACATCCATGTTCCTCTCTTTCTCTTTCTCCCTCCCTTCCCCCTCTCTAAAAATAAATACATAAAAAATATTAAAAAAATAAAAAACACCAACATTTGGCAATCCTTAGTATAAGGATCTATGGTCGTCTATGTTGACAGAGCCCAGCTTGTTCTTCCAAGTCTCCAAAATGGTTCGTTTCTATACCACCCCTATTTGGTCTAGGATTGACATCTGTAATATTGTGATTTCCAGAATTCACCTCTTCTACACTTGGAAAACCTGCAGAGTCTCTAGCCTCCTGACATTTGTCCTTTCTTCTCAGTCCCTCAAACACCTCAAAAGTGGTTTCCTGATCACCACGGGTTCTCTCAAGCAGCTGGCATGATATATAGCTAGGCAGCTGGGAGCTCTCTGCTTTTAGTTCATCCTCCTGGGCTCCGAATTCTCTCTAAACCAGGCGCACTCATCCTTTCCCAGGTGGCAGACCTTGTTCCTAGATAAGGAAAAAGGATGCGTGGAGAGATTATTTGATGCACAGCCACTCCCATCTGATGAGAACTTTAACAGGCAGTTCACCAGGAAGCTTCACCTCATGCTTTTGCCCTGAGCCCTCTCACTCTGCTGGTCCCACAGGTGTACACATGCACAGAGCCAGAGGGGGCTGGCGGACACCTCATCGAAGAATGCAGGGTCCCTAACAGGCAGACACCCACCAAGAGGAGCCTCTAACAGCTCCATTCGCTAAGTTTGAAATCAGAGCCCCTCAGCAGAGCTCTACACAAGGCAGGGTATTATTCATAATATTCATTAATAATGACTGATGGGGAAAACAAAAGCTGCCATCTGGTTTCTAGTTCTCATTCTCTGATTTCTAATTTAGCTCTAGAACAACCTCATTTGTTCATTTTTCTCATTCATTAAGCCCTTACTCTGTCCTATGCCCATGGGTGACTGGGGCTGGGGGCAGAAGTAATGAGTGACCTCCTTTTGGTTCAGGGAGGGAAAAGAATGCATTATGAGGGGAAAGGAGGGACCCTAAAGTCAGGCTCCTGGCACCACCGCCTTACATGCATCAGCTACTACAATGGATTGTTCTCAACCTACGACTACAAAAAAGAACAGACAAGTCTAGTTTGCAACCAGCGTTGTTAAGAAAGCGCTTAACAAATGATTATTAAACGATTCCAATCTATCTGGTACATACTTTTGGATAATTTACAACAGTGGCCCCGAAACTTTTTGGCACCAGGGACTGGTTTTGTAGAAGACAATCTTTCCATGGACTGGAGTGGGGGTGGGGTAGACAAATGGCTGTATAACCTGCCCCCAGATGCAGCTTAATTGTCACTTGCCACTTACTGATAGGGTTCTGATATGAGTCTGTAAGCAACTGACTTATTATGGTCTCTGTACAGCCTCTCTGCTAATGATAATCTGTATTTGCAGCCGCTCCCCAGCGCTAGTATCACCACTGCTGCAGCTCCACCTCAGGTCATCAGGCATGAGATTCTCATAAGGAGCGTGCAACCCAGATCCCTCGCATGGGCAGTTCACAGTAGGGTTAGCACTCCTATGAGAATCTAATACGGCTGCTGATCTGACAGGAGGCAGAGCTCAGGTGGTAGTGCGAGCAATGGGGAGCGACTGTAAATACAGATGAAGCTTTGCTTGCTTGCTCGCTGCTCACCTCCTTCTGTGTGGCCTGGTTCCTAACAGGCCATGAGCCAGTACCAGTCTGTGGCCCAGGAGTTGGGGACCCCTGATTTACAGGATTCATCAAAGGGCACATCTACTCTTCACATTGCGATGCATAAACCACAAACCACTGCTCAAACCACTCGGCACTCTTCCCAGAGTCAGGTGGGCTTTCTTGACGCACACCAGAACGACCGAACACAGGGGTGAAGTTCCCAGGGGGATCTGAAAACAGCCAGCCTGCATCTGCCTTTCCTGCAGGGATAAGGATGCAGGCAGGGTGATTTTAGCTCTAGATTCAACATAACTTCCTGCAAGACCTGCTTCCATCAGCAACTCTTGAGACGGCTGGGAGAGCACTGCAGTGGTGCCTGGCGGGCAGTGTTCCAAGCACCTCCAACCACAGGGTTGCCCTCACTGAGGCCACGGCGGGACTGGGGGTGACCTGCTCCTAAGGCTCTGCCATTGCTCTTAATCAGGAGGAGTTTCAAAACTTGGTTTTCGTTTGTTCGCTTGGTCAATTTTCTAGAAATCCAGAAGGAAAATGGCCAAAGGGAATACTTTTCCTTTGGGTTCTCTTAAGAATTTGGCACTTTTAAGAATAAAGGAGCCAGGGAAATCCCCAGTGGTATTCTGTTTATGAACAATTCCCACCTACCCACACCCATGTGATGCTGCGGGGAGGGGAGGGTGGGAAGACCAGGATCAGCATATAGGACTCATAAAACAGGGAACAATTGGTGCTAGTTCTTTGCACATCAGTCTCCACATCTGTAAAATGGAGTTAATCATATTTGCTCTGTGGCATCATGATGAAAGGACATGACCCTGCAAGAAGCCACTTTATCACTCTAAGGTGATGCACAACTGTTAGCATAAGGATCCCTATAACTAAGATGATAATAATGCATTGTTGTAACAGGGACTATAGAGGATATTCTCATTAAACCTGGCTTGGGGAAGGAAGCAGCTTAGGACAGCCATTGAGAGTCACTGTGCGTAACTACAGCGATTTGGCTTGCTTCATAATTGTGTTAAGTGCTGTGTCTTGCACGCGGGGAGCCAGGGAGATGGGAGTGACTTTGACTCCCGCTGCAGCCATGATGGAGGGCTTGCCTCACCTGCATGAGAGCAGGAAGGAGGTTCCTCCGCGTCAAAGGGCCATGCCCCCCAGACTAACAATGGCAGCCAGAGAACGGGCAGATGTAGTCGATTGTGGGAGGTGTCGGAAAAGGGGTCACAGAGGAGGTGCTGGGAGTCAAACTAGGTGTGGGAGCCATTCTCTCTCTCTCTCTGCCACGTGGCATAGAAAGGAAAAGAAAAGTAGGACGTAGGAACCGTGTGGAGCTCTCTTAAATCATGCAGCTGAAGAAGGCGAAGCGCTCTTGGCCACGAGGGGAGTAGCAGTGAGGGAAGAGACGTGCTGTCTGTGGTGAGGGACTTTGGCCATGCATTTTGAAGGAGAGCGTGAGAAGGCAGAGTAAACGCTGTGGCTGACTCCGGAGCTGCAGTGTACTTCCTTGCAAGCTCCTGTCCTGCTCCACCTGCATTTTACCTGGACTACTAAGACCTGTGCCTTTGCTGGGTTTCACCATGATCCAGAGCGACATGGCGCATGCCTTTCTGAACCATTACCTGGAGGCTGATGGCAACGTATTCCAGACCCTGCACAGATGAGGTCATGGGAAACTTCTGGGGATGCTTCTGGCTGGTAGCCTGGCGTGGAGCATGGTAAGTGCTGGGTCTCATGGGAAAGGAGGGCTCCGAGCTGAGGTGCTCTGAGTCCCCCCAAGGTTGGAATGTTGTAAATAAAGACCTGCTCCTTCCAGCATTAATTATTGGGTCATTCACTGAGGCAGCACATGGACAGGCCCCGGTCAGCTCGCTTGCAGTTTTGCTGGGCTCTGTAACACTGTCACTGAATATGCCATTATGGACTAGATGATTATGACCCTGATCTGTAGTTATTTTTGGCTTTTTATCCTCCTCCACAATCTCTTACTCGCCATCACTGGGCCAAAGGGCTGGCGAGAAGCTACCAAGAAAGAGAACCCCCCCCACGCACCCTGTTCCAGGGTGCTGAGGACCCCCCTTCTTCACCCACTGGGATGGGCCCGCCCTCTCCCAGGAGGTCTCTGTCCCAGGCTGCCATCCTCTTGCTCTCACACCACTGTTGCTCACCTTACAAGAGGAGCCTCCTCCCTCAGAAATGAGTTACAAGCGATTTCCATTCTCCATGGGAATGGGGAGGACACTGGCCTAGAAAAATCCGGAGCTACGGGCCTTTCAGCTGCATTACACACACATTGTACAGCTTCACCCATTTTCCTCCTTTGACCCAGTGTGGCTGCTTCAGGCTGTGACACACTTGAGTGAAGCAGAAGGAAGGCATTCTAGACGCTGGGGGATCTGAGGCTCCAGCCCTGGCCTCCCTGTGCCCTCCCAGCTGCTAGGCAACATACAGGGCCTCTCGGGGCCTCAGTTTCCCCACCTGTAAGATGAGGGGTGATTACTGTTCTAGGCAATATCTGAGGGTTCTTCTGGTCCTAATTCCTCCAATTTCGGGAAATCCACGTGCATTTCCTGACCCACGCTGACTTGGAGGAAGCAGCTCAGGCCTGCCAGGTTGAGCTGAGGGACACATGCGGCCTGACTGGGACTTGTGTGCTCTTCTGATGGTGATGCGGGGTGAGCTGTGTGCCCCGGGAACCCGTGAAGGCAGGAACCTCGCCTAGCACCAGAGCATCCCTGGCACCGAGGAGGCATTTGACAAGCAGGTGCTCACTGGACTCACGTCCCAGAGCAGCGCTCTCCTACGCTGAGGGAGGGAAGAATGTGGTGGGGAGGAGCAAAGCTCCACTCACATGGGGCGTGGAACATGACGAGGACAGAGGAGTGTTCCTTCACAAACTGGTCAAAGTCTTCATCGGTCAGGTGATAAACGGAGCCGCCCTCATCTGCCCAGGGAGTCTCAGGGACCTGGGGCTGTGGCGGCTGCGGACTGGAAGACCAAAAACAGGCAGAGCTCAGAGCAAGCCCTGGGGCCTGAGCAGCCCTTACAAAATCCAGCCCCCAGCACAAAGCCCCCACTGGCTCGGCTCGGCTTGGCTGGCTGCAGGGGCTCACCAGGAATTCCCCTGGTGAAGGGGCAGAGAGGTGGTCTGGCCCTGCCCACCTCCACTGTCCCCTCAAAGCCTCACAGAAGTGCTTAGCTGATACCCCATCACAAACAGCAGTGTTAGCTATAGCTTTCTAGGCAGCTCAGGAAATCTCACTGCCTCCCGGAATCTGGAGGTTTGTAAATTTCTCAAGCTCTTTCAGACTTTCGGCAAACTGGCAAGAATAAATAGAACAGCAAAGAGCGTGACCTTTGGAAAGCTCACTATTGTGTTCAGTAGTGCCCCACAGGCAGGGAGGGGCTGGGAGAGGGACCACTACAGGGGAGAAGGTTTACGCCTTGGGGTGAAGAGGAAAGCGAAAGGCCAGGTGTCTCAGACCAAATCTGGGCTGGGAAGGGAAAGGGAGGCTGCCACAAGGGTGACCAGCATGGGAGGAAGGCATCATAAGGAAGAGTGAGGCCAAGGGAACAAGGCTGGGGATACCCTAAGTATGACTATGCCTGTTATATCACAACTTCTTCCTAGAGACCAGGAACAAGGTTATCGAGTTCTCCCCGAGGCAGAGTGCTGCAGCAGAAAGAGCCCCTGGGGTCAGTCCAAATTCCAACTCCACCAGCACTGGCAGCAAAACCTTGGGAAGCTGCCCAGCCTCCCTGGAGCCCTCGGCCTAGGGAAGCTGTGCGCTGGTATCTACGTCACGAGCGGGCTCAGCGCAGAGGCTCTAGGGTGCCCTCTATGGCTCCAAAGTTGAAGACAAGACTGCTGCTGACACAAATTCTCTGATGCTTCACTGCCACAAGCACCTTAACTGCTGCTTTGAAAAAACCTTTTAGGATGACAAATGTGAAAAGACAACCATTGTTTCTGCCTCTGAGAGCCTAAAGTGGAAAAGTGTCAAGTTCCAGCAGCCAGGGCTGAGAATTTATGAAACTAATGTGGTCAACGCAGTGGAACCGCAACCCCCACCCCACAACAGGGCCTGGGTGTGACACCACCCATACCCTCAGGAGCCCTTTTGGCGCTTCAGAGTAGGCCCCACCGGCAGCTTCAGTCACCCTGTCCCAAGTCACAGGAAGTGGCGGGGAGATGGCAAACCGTTCTCAGCCCTTGCATATCCAACATCAAACGAGGCTGGTGGCAAAAACGAGACTCAGAATGAATCGCCAGCCAGACAATGGTCCCAGACCAACATCAGCAAACCTAGGCTCCTATACTTGGGCTCAAAACACCAACCCCTCAAAACCACCAATTCCACTTCAGGGAATTTATCTTTATAATACACCTGCACATGTCAAAATTCTGTGCATTCAAAGGTATTCACTGTAGAGGATTCATCATAGCAAAGGCTGAAAATAACCCAGAGTCCACTGGTGGAGAGTGTCAGGTCTACTGCCGTCCGCGCGCACGCACAGGGCTGAGTATGGCGGAGAACAAGGCAGCTCCGTGCACTGATGCAGACAGGCTGCTGCGGCATGCAGAACAGGCCGCAATGTGCTAAGAAGTCTGGGAGAGATTTTAAAAATACTTATTCACATTTGCTTGTGTCTGCATAAAGAAACTAATCAAAGTTGTTAGCTCTGGGGATGGGAGGGAGAATAGGATGGAGGAAACGGATGGAAGTGAGACTTTTCAATGTATAATTTTTAAGTATAATTTAAAAGTTACTTTAATTATATGAATGGAATATATTCAAATATTAAAATAACTTTAAAATCCAGCAGGACTGTACACACTGAATGGAGAGGCTCATGGGTTAGTAAAGTATAAGCATATGGAAACACCTGGGAAACTTCTAGGTAAATGTGGCAGAGAACACTCTAAGACCACGGAAATAACAGTACAGGTGTTGTTTTTCTTTTCTTTTTTTTTAAGTATGACTGCACAAGAGCAAAAAGACAACCACAAAGAGAGGAAAAAAAGATCAGTGTAATTTTAAAAGTTAGAAAAATGATTTAGCAAAACAGAGGGCAGAATGTCAAGGTGCTGGGTACAAGGAGGGTACAGGGGCCCAAGAACCACAATGTGCAAGGCAAAGGCTCCCATGGATCCAGAGGCCCCGTCCCTTTGCAGCAAGGCTGTGGCCTGGGGCTGAAAACAGGAAGCACAGTTGAAAAGCTTGAGCAGCCAGGCCCTCAGATCCTGTCCCTCACTCCAGAGGTTACCAGGTAAACACCTCCTTCCCACCCAATAAACAACAGGAAGTTTACTTTCTGGAGAGGATTGCAGAGCTAGGCACAGAGGTAGGACTTTGGAAAGATAGGGGTTGAGTAGAAAGCTAAAGCCATACACTATTACTGAATTACGCTTTTTACTGTCTGCCTCCTTGAAGACTGGGGCTTCCTCTCATCTCTGTACCTTCTGCACTGAACACACAGCAGATACCCAATAAAGGCTTTTGAAGAAATGACAGAATGAGAGAAGGATGGTTAAAGGAACTGGAGATTTTAACCTGAAAAAGACCCAGGGCACACAATAACTATCTTTGAATATTTCAGGCTGCATCAGGAAATTAAGATTATATTCTGTGCCCTCAAAAGGAGCAGCAACACCAACAAATGGAAGCTCCAGAGAACAAACTTCAGCTCAACAGAAGTAGAAACCTTCTATCTACAACAGCCTGAGCAGGAAAGAGAGCTGATCGGGGAGTCAGAAGACCTAAGTTTGAGTCCTGCTTCCTCCATTTACCAGCTCTAGGGGCTTAGGCAACGAACTTGACTCGAAACATCTACAAGACAGTATATATGTGGGCCTTTCTTTTTCTACTCCTCAGGTACATCTAGACAGATAACGGATGTGAGATAGGACTTTATAAAGTACTACCCAAATATTCCTAGATGTTTATAACGTAAATCATAAGAATCATTCAAACATGAATAGACAGCCTCAAAATGAACTATAGCCCTGTTCTCAGGTGTTTGCAGGGCTGAGGTACGCACATCTATCCTAAAGGTGGGGCAACATTAAAGGGCACTGCTGGGGGCCGACTCACTCACACTGACTTTCCCTTCCGGTCCTGAGACTCTGAGTTCCCTGGTTCTTTCACACAAAGCAGATTCTTGCCTGAGGCAGATGCCCGAGCCAGGGATGAGAACATGCAACTCTAGGCCTTACAAGAAAACTGTGTTTTTCGCTCACTTCTGGTTAGTATGAAAACACACAGGCAGAACGGTGGGCTAGGTGAAAACGGATCACCACTTCTGCATGCTCCACCTGCCAGGCTCAACTTAATAGCATGAAATCTGCAGAAAGGAGCCTGAGAACTAGCTGTCAGGAGCACAGAGGGCACAGCTCCTGTGGTCACTGCGTCTGCCTCACAGCCCTGGGACACTGGACACCATGCCCACCTGCCGGTGCCGCTCATCGGAGGGCAGGATCTGGGCTCTTCTCTCCTGAGCTTCTGAAAGTCATCCAGAGAGTTAGCGAGGCTGGATCTACCCTCTTCCCTTCTACACTGGGCTGCCACAGCTGTGAGCAGCGGGGAGGCCCAGGGAAGCAGGAAAGGCGAGTCTCTACTACCCCCCTCTAGGACTTGGGGGAAATCCGGTAAAGACTTAAAATACTGGCACTCAGAGCTTAATATATATGGGGCAGGGGGATCCAGAACTTTTCTTTTTGTTTAACTATATTTTAAAGTTTTTCTATAATAACATATGTCACCTGAATAGCCTTAAAATCTAATTTTAAAAAATTAGGCCAGTAGGCAGCACAGTGACATTGCTCTTGCTGGGGTGAGAGATGAGGCAGCGCACTGGGGTTCCTTCAGGAGGTCATCTCCTTGCCCCACTGCGCTGGGGGAGTTCGCCGTAGCCATGTTTTCAGAGGGGCTACCTTCATGTGTGTGTCTCCGACCAAGTGATCGGATCAACTTGATCACTTGATCGATCAGTGATCAAGTGGCTGGACAGCTCTGGAGGGGTTGCCAAGGAGACCCAGATGCTACCTTCTCTTCCGTGGAGTTACCCCACCAACCTTCTCAACCTGGAGACGCAGGGTGAACCAGAAGCTGCTGACAAGGTGAATGAGAAGTAGGAGATAGGAAGCAGGGAGGCACCAACCCAGGACACAGATCTGAAGGCAGCCCTATGGTACAGGCCAGAGATGAGTCCAGCGAGGAGCTAGGGTGGCAGTGTGCAGAGTGGCAGGCCACAGAGGGGGTAATAATCCGTCTCAGAAACTCCACTTGATATGTTCCCCTTGTCTGCGGTTAGCAAGCAATTCTCTCAACACTTTTTTAAAAATCCAAACCTATCCTTCCAAAAAGATGAGTCTATTTTGAAACCAGAAAAGGTTAGAGAAGGGGAGGGAAGCAGACAGATTTTTATGCTCTGGTGACAAATGAGATTGCTGTTTGTTGAAACCTTTTCTCAAAGCAGAGCAAGATATGCCTGGCTGTAGGAGAGGACACACTTATTATCGAGTGAAAAAGGAAGAGGCTGGTAGCAAAGGCCCAGATTAAGACAACGAATATGTGATAATGGGCAGCTGCCTCCCTGGGCAGGGGCTGGAAATGAGGTAATATATGGGGAAAGAGATATGAAATGTTTCCAAGAAATAAAGGATGCTATGCAAGCATGATATTATCGTTGTGTTTTATCCCCCAGGTCCCTGAGAATTGACAGAACACTGAAAGTTTCAACTTTCAGAATCTAACAGTTTGTTTCTTGTGGGGTCTTTCTGGGGCGGGGTTCAAAAATTCATCCTCTTTTCCCATTCTGAAAATATGCTTTTTCAACTTCCATATTTTTGGATAACTAATTCTTTAAGCGTGGGTCCCTCAGGTAGTGATGTCAGTAAATATCCACCCTGCTGGCAGCTGGGGGGAGGGGCTCCGACCAGAACTTAGGGGAGTGGGTCTGGACGGTGGGGAGCTGCCGCCGGGCTGGGGGTGGGGGCGGGGAGCCTGGCCCTGCTGCTTGTCAGCTGCAGGAGTGAGGACAAGCTACAAGCTACTTCGTCACTGTGCGCAGTTACCTGCTTCATCAAATAAGGGTAATAATAATACCTTCTTCACAGGGCTGTTCTGAGGGTTACATGAGAATCCACATAAAGTGCTTAGAACAATGCCAGCCACAAAGTAGAGCCCCCCAAATGTTAGCTGTTATTATGCACAAATAACCACATATCAGCACCGACTGGTTAGCACCAAATTGATGCCAGGCCAAGCATAGAGCGAGCAGGATGATGCTCATCTGGTTGGCCTGGGAGGATTCCAAGAGAGGTGGCCCTATCCCAGACTCCCCATCCAACACACCAGTCAGGGTCCATCCAACCATCATGCCAAAGTCACACTTTGAGATGGAGGGGACTCCAGGTGAGGGGGTGGTTTAGTCTGTAAGAATCTAATCACATTAAAACAGGGCTCACAAGGCTCCTAAGAAGCAGCATCTGTGGGGCGTGCAGGGTGAACGGCAAAGCATTCTGCACACCTAGGGCATTAAAATCTTTCTCAGTAGCTGCGCAGCACCTAAGGCTGTGTTATGTGTGAAATATGAATTCCATTGACAATTCTATTTTCAGACAGACCTACGGTGACAGGTCTCAAACCTGACATTCTGAGTGAGAAACACATCTATCCACGAGACAGACAGTATAAGGAAAAACACTACTTGCAATGCGGCCATCACAGCCAAAGTGACAACAAATCCTCCCAACTCCTGCATCCTATACTCACAGAGATTCCCTGACCTCACGTAGATGCAACTCAAAAATAGCTGTGCAGGCAGCGCAATAGGTCCTTTTCCTTCCTCATCCTCCTCCCCAAACCACAGCCAGAGCCCTGGGACTAGGGTCCACCCTGGAGCCTGGTAGGTGCCCCTCCCTCTGGGCACCAGTCCCCTAACGTCCCTGCCCACAGGTAAAGCCCAACTTACTTCTTCAGCCACTCCACAATGTCCTCAGCGGTGGACCCATAGCTGTCATACTGGAACAGAAACCGCCCTTTCCTGTAAAATGTGCAGAGACAACGTGGGCTCAACCGGGGATGCAAATGTCATCACAGAGGTGGCAAGCGTCTCAGGGAATCAGGGGACTTACTCAAAGTAGCAGATGGTGGGGTAGCCCCGCACGCTGTACTCCTCCTTGATGTTTTCAAACTCCGAGGGGTAGATGTTCATCCCGGCCAGCACCTAGGAGCAAAGCGAGAACAGACCTGTCCACCCTCTGCCTGGGAGACACCTCACCTTGTCCATGTTCCTCCTGGCCAGCTGTCCCAACAACGATGGGGACATAATGAAAAGGACAAAGCCCCGCACACTGATGTGCGGCCTGGGACAGCAGGGCGCTAGGCAGGTTAAGCCGCCTGGGAATGAAGACAGAGCTCTGGGCCCAGTGTGGCCCTCCACACAGGTGCTCTCTTTCACCTGCCCTGTAGAAAGACCATCCCAGAGCAAAAGCAAAGTCCTGAGGTTTGAGGAAGACACCTGGCCTCACTACCAAGTTTAAAGAGGTCCTACAGTGGGGCCACTGTCCCCTAAGCACATGTTATGCCTTTTCTTTGCCCATGTCAACTAAGGTTATACTCTACTCCCAAACTATAGAATCACTGTTCAGCCACTCCACGGTGTCCTTGGACACTTTCCTGGATATCTCATGGCCTGTCCTCAGTCTGCCCACTTGGACTTTACGTGCAACATTATCAGACTTCACAGCTCTGTGTGGCGCAGGAGAGGGTGTGGTTCTCATGACAATCCACCTGCCTAACTCTCTTCTCTCCAGACCCTGCTAGGCCTCCCCAACTCTCTCCTCCTGTTTTTGACCATCACCACATATCCAACATCCCTGAATGGGAAGGGGGATTTTGCAGCTGTATTCTTGACGATGGGGCTGTTCTAAGAACAACCTAAAACTCCTTTTCTGAAGCAGAAAACTTTCCCTCTGGAGGGGGATCAGTGCCCAGAAAGAGGACTTTGAGAATGTGGATAGTGTAGCCAGATACAGGAAGGCTGTTCAAGAAAACCGGGTGGCAGAGAAGAGAGGGGAAAGGAAGTGGCGGGGGGGCGGAGCCAGTAGCAGTTACAGTAGAGCAAGAAGAAACCCAGGAAGCTGAATTTTGCTGAACAACGTATAAGAAAGTATAGGAGGGGCAGGAGGAAAACAGCAGTTTCATCAGGCAATGATCTTGATTCCAAAGACTGCTTCCATGTAGGAGTCACGAGATTTTGGGCAAGTCGCTCACCCTCCCTGAGTGAGGTTCCTTGTTTGGAAGATGTGGCTGACAAGACTATCCCAGGGCTCTAAAGAGAACTGAATGAGATGATCTACGTCAGAGATTTTAGCACAGAACTTGCTATCGATAATCAAGTTCTCTATTTCCTGCCAAGCCCTCCCAGTATGACAGCCAGCTATGCCCTCTGACCGCTCCACCCATAGAGGCATGTAAACATGTCTTTCCAACTGTTTTAAGTACCTAGCACAATGCCTGGCACACAATAAGTGCTTGCTAAATCACAGGGGGTTTTTCCCTAACACACTTTGAGATGCTGCAAGGAATACAGGAAAAATAAGCCTGAAATAGAACTTACTCGAAGAGCTGGAACCTTTAAAAGCCTGTTCATGTCTCCAGACTGATTCAGCAGCCTTTTCCAGTAATAATTATAGCTTTAAAGTTCTTTTTTTTTTTTTATGTCTAATTGATCTCCCTACTGTTAGTGCACATTCACCAGATTAATCTTCCTCATCCTCCTCTTTCATTACATCACTTCCTTGCAGGAAACCTTTCAATTCCATTGAATACAGGCTAAAGTCTAACTTTACACTCATAGGCCATACAGTCTCTACATCATTTCTTAATTCCCGTTTCTTACAAAACCCTTAACTGTACACCTGCTAGGGTCTACATTTTTTTATTCTCCCAGATGAGACAGTTTGAAATTTCTGCACAGAGAGGAAGGTGGACCGAGTGCTATCTAAGGCACCTTACAGACAAGCAGTGAACTATGGAGGCTAGGAGGTGGACTCAGGGTCAGGATGCTGGGTTTGAATACTAGCTCTCCACCTAGTAGATGCATTCCCTTGAACAAATCAGAGTTAACTCTGTGCCTCACTTTCCTCATCTGCAGCCACCACCTGTGGTTGCTGTGAAGATTAAATGAAATAGTAAAAGTATCTACAACACTCAAAGTATGTTAGATGTTTCCATTACCACTGCTGAGAGGCTCTGAAATTCTGGTCTCACTTCCAGAACACATGCCGCACCCCTAGTCTGTGTCTCCCAGCCCCCTGGCTTATGATGCTCATGCTCCACCTCTCGGCTCCCACCAGAGGCTCATTCATCCTTAAGGCAATTCAGATCCCGCCTTCCCCAGCGGCCTTTCCAAATCACCTTCGCTTGTCATGAATTCTTAATTCTCCGAGTTTCTGTAGCACTTTTGTACTACTTCGGGGATATTTATTAGTTAATTAAATATTTTTTGAACTATATACAACCACCTTTGGAATTTGTGAAGTTGAATGAGACAAAACTCGTCTCAATCTAAGGAAAGGTAAGGCCACAGCTCCTGACACTGAGCTAGCCATGCCTGGGGCATTCAGGTGGCACAACATGCTTTCTCATGTTCAGCCTGTGGTGGCAGGACTGATCACGGAAGCCCCACAGGGCAGGCGACATGTGAGCTAGTGCCCAAAGGAGGTTGAGATTTCCACAGACATTCTAGGAAAAAAGAGGCAAGACAAAACAAGATTCAGCCTGAGAAATGGGGAGTGTGTCAGTTTAACCGGACTGCAGGACACACAGGAGTGTAAGAGAAGGTGGGATGGGTTCACTGAGGTCACTCTGGAAGGCTCTCATGCCTAAGAAACCAGAACTTCATTCAGGAGCCGCTGGAGAGCTATGGAGGGTTTCCCGGTTGTTTTTCACATGTAGAGGCTGAGCTGCAGGAGAAAGTCATAGGTCAGAGAGACAAGTCAACAGCCTCTGGCAACCACCCTGTGTGAGCTAACCAGGGCCTGAGCCAGGACAGCAGGCAGGGAGAGGACAAAGGCTGTGAGGGAAGAGACGTCTGACGATGCCCAGGCACGCTGGCGGAGCCTGGAGTACTCAGGAGAGTCGCAGAGAAAAGCTGGATGTCTGCCCGCTGGGAAGATACTGAATTCTATTTTAGAGAGCTTGCATTTGGGACACAAGGAGAAAAATCCAGACTAAGATATGAAACAAGCGGTCTGATACGTGGTGCTAGGGCTCAGGGACTCAGGCTCTGTGGAGCTACATTATGTTGAAGCTATGAAGGTAGATAAAAATCACTGAGGGACACACAGGCCACAACGAGGCAAGGAAAGCTCAGTGCTGGGCACTTGCTCCAGTGCGGTAATACGTAAGAAAAGAGGGTGGAACGGAGCATCTTGTGAGCGCCTCCATCTAATGAGTGAGAGGAACAGTAAGTACAGAACAGTGGTGTGTCAGTCATCTGTAACTGCTAAGTGTCTAGAGGTTACAGCGCCATGTCCACATTCCAGCCCATTTGTTCCTCACAACACCCCGGTGAGGTAGGCAGGGATGCCATCATCATCCTCATTTTACAAATGGGAAAATGGAGGCACCAAATCTCTCTGCCTGAGATCTCCCAACTGGTTAGTGAGAGCCAGCACCAGAGTCTAATTTGCACAAATCTGTTACCACGACGGACCCACTTCAGTGTTTACACCCAGAGGGCCCATCACGGCCACAGTTAACAAGAGACTCAGTGTGGATGTCAATCTGGCAAATGGGAAGAGAACAGGGTCATTCTGATGGCTGCTCTGATCAGGGAGCAGCGACAGCTGCCAACGAGGATGTCAATTAGCAGTTAGGTGGAACAGACACCGATGAGTCACCAGACATCAGTGACAGCAAAAAGGCAGATCTGAGTCTGGAAAATGGCAAAGGCTGTGCATCCCTGACCTGGCCTGGTTTCTGTCTAAATGACGTCATCAGGTTGGATACCTCCCAAGATAGCTGTAGAAGAGGCAGATTTATGGCCCCTGCCATAACCATGGCCAGCCAGAAAGGGCTCAGAGATGACAAAGATGAAGTGGAGATAGGAGGCACTGATTGGCAGGGTTTCAACAGTGGGGAGGGAACAAACTTTTGATTTCAGGGGACTGTCAGCGCATCTCTGCCCTGTGTGTGTGGACACAGAGGAACACTCCTAGTCACCCTGCTTCTGGGGAGCTGTGGCTGCACCATGTGCCTGGGTCTCCAGATGCCTCCTACAGTGGGTGTATCCATGGTGGCCAGGACCCCTCCCATTTATGGAGCTGGGAAAAGGTAAAAACTTCTCCAAGGAGAGCAAAGGTGCTTTCCTAAGAAACTAATGGGAAAATAGAACAAAACAAACCATAAGCAAAAAAATCTGGAAGCATGAAAATGGATGAGTTCACACCGCACAGGTGTCTCTGGCCAAGGTAACGAACACCTACCTGGCCCTCCGGGTATCTGGACCATCCCACTGACTTTTCTGTAACATTGTCTAGGGAACTGGAAGGGTCACACTTTCAATTTCTGGGCCTGGGCTTAGGCACTCGAACACAAGTAACCTTCAGGGCTACCCTTGCAAAAGAGCCTAGTGTGAACCAAGGGCCAAATCAAATAGCACCCCTGTGCTCAAGAAGCTCACATTTCAGTGAGAAAGTCATAATTAGTATCAATTGGTGAACAAAGTGATTTAGGACAAAAGCAAAGATGGGCAGATCTGGCCATAGGAGGCATGGACAAGCTCTGCGGGAGGAGCCTGGAGGAATACCGAGTTTAGGAGGTAAATGCAACAATGGTTGAGAATCTTCCAGAAGAGCCTGGCACCAAGACCTTGCCCGCTTTGAAGGGGCTGGCCAGGTAATCTGTGATCTAACTGGGGCTGGAGCTGCTTACCTTCCACTGTACCAGAGTTTGGAAGTTGAGCCGAGCAGTTTTTTAAAAGTGTAACTGGGTGCAGGTAGGGAGAACACTGTGGATAATTAAGTCTTTTCTCTAGGCAAAATAATCTTAAAATATGATATCTACTGAGGCCCCCAAATGTGAAGTGAAACGTCCCCAGAGTGACATATGTGTGCCTCACGGCCAAACGTCTTCAGGCAAGTTTTGCTAACTTTTAGTGAGAAATAAGCAGGGCCTTGGCACCCCCAGAATGAGGTCAAAAGAGAAAGTGCTGGTTCTTTGCAACCCAATCTTGCAGGCGCCTAGCAGGGCTGTCGCCGTGCCCAGGTGCTGCCATTGAAACTTTCAAATTGACTTTGAACTAATCACCAACTTAATTTGATCCATAAAGATCATGACATAGTGTTAAGTCTTAGAACTCCCTTAATGGGGCTTTGGCCAGCCCCACGGGAATGGCTCCTCCCAATGACCTTTCATCAAAGGTGTGTGGATTTTTCCATGCTCCCTGGAGAAGCTAGCTGTTGTTTTTCTGTTGCCTCCAAGAACCAGCCCCCTCCTCCATAAAGAAAAAAAACAAACAAAAAAAAAACCCCAAACTAACCAAACAAAAACCCAAAACCTCTGTGGCTCAGGGCAGATGCAAAAATGGACAGCCAAATGGCACAGAAGACACAAGCCTCGTAGTGTAAGCCAGACCCTCACTGATTGATCCTCAGCCCTGGGGGAGGCCTGGGCACCCAGCCGCTCCTCCTCCTTCACTGACCATCCTTGGCTGTTCCTGCTGTTCTGCAGGCCAATCTGTCTCCTCAGTGGCTCCTCTTCCCTCACGTTCCCTAAAGGTGGGCACCCCTGAGACAACCGATCTGCTCTGGCCCCACACACCTGCAGTCCTTCCTTCACAGACTGCCTGCTCTCTCGGGGCTCCGGCTCCCCACCTGGACTGTCTCCTTTCCACCATCCTTCCTGCCTCACAGAAACTGAGGAACTTCGGCTTGCCAAGGCAGGAGACTGCCTCAGGGACCTGCTTGTGTCTCTGGCCACAGCTGGTGTCGCTGGGTTCCTTTCTTTGCCTCGGCCCACTATGGAGCCCAGCGCCAATAATTCTGGACCCTGATGGTCTGCTGTTGGCCACTGGCCTTCTGGTAACACCCCATGTGCTTCTTGTTGTTTTCTTGGCTATTTCATTACTGGCCTTTGACAGGAACTAAACTCCCCTGCTCCCAGCAACTCTGCGGAGTTCTCAACATTTCCTGAAGGCAGGTCTCTGAACCACAGCCCAGGGCAGCAGGGTCAGCAACAGTAGGGTAAGGCCCCATCGTGATTTCAAAACCTGCCCTCCCCCACCCCTGTTCCAGTGCCATTTTCGCAGGTGAGGGGCAGGGTCTGAGAAGCAACCAGCCCTGCCTGGCCCATGGGTCCTCACTTACAACGTGGCCTCGCAGCTGGGTGGCAGCTTTCTGGAAATGCGGCATTATCCTCTTGCACATGCTGCACCCTAGTCACAGGCAAGAGAAAAACCAAACTCAGTTACAGTGGGTGCTGGGCCCTGTGCTCCACCCTCCCTCCCATCAGAATGACCCCTGTCCACAAACATTTACCCAGCCTCCAGGAACACAGAAGGAACTGGACACAGGTCCTGGCCTCCAAACAGCTTACATTCATGAAACAGGACACAGCCCAGCAGCGACTTAATACATGTGGGACCGACTAAGCAAATATGACACAGTGGAGAAGGACAAAGCACTGAATAATTTAGAGCTGACAGTGAGTTCAAGAGGAATTCAGAGAACCAGAATAGGTGCCAGAGCACCACTTCATGCACAGCCGAAAGCCTCCCCTCACTGCCCCACCAGGGGTTGCAAATGAACCTGAATCAAGTACCATTAGGGAGAAAATGTGCAACTACAAATACAATGACTTTTGGGATTCTCATGCCTCTTTTCCTTCATTAACAAGGACACTATGCAATGGCTGGAGGTGGGTCTGAGATGAAAAATGCTGGCCCTTGGCCCCATGGGAAGAGCACCAGGCCAGGATCGCAGGCCTGGAGTTCTCGTTTTCCCTCCATTTGTTGGGTAGCCCCAGACAGGTCACTTCCTCTCTCTTGGCTGCTGCTCCTTCTGGCAAATGAGCAGAGTTGAACCAGGCAGGTCTGATGTTGGAGGATTCTGTGATGTCCTTGGCTCAACCTCCTCTGGGGTCCTGTGGTCCACCATAGTCACAATCCTCTCCTGGGGTGGTGAAGCCCCCCGAAGGTTGTGAGGCTCAGGGCCAAGAGAGCCAGATGCCAAACATCCACTATTACTTCAGCATGACCTTGATTAAAACCATTCTCCTCCCTTCAACCAGAGCAGGCTATGTATCAGCGCGGGTCCTGCAGGACACGAGCAGCATTTCCTGAGAGGTGAGGGATTCTAACACACAAGGCTGTTTCTCTTTCTCTGACAGCCACTCTGCTGCAAAACCGGCTTCAAGAGGCACCTGAAGGCTGCAGACAGCAAAGCTGCCTGGAACCCCACATCGGGCTGGTTCCCATCTCAACACGGATTGGCGCGAACAGGGCCACGCTGCAGCAGGCTAACAAGCTCTAATTCATGTTCAGCTATTGTCTTGGCAGGCCATGGGCAGAGTAATACAGATCAGACAGGTGCTCACACCCAGGAGGCCGGGATACAGACCCTGGGGAACTGTGAGCAGGACTAATTCTCCTAGAGACCACCTGAGCCTCCCAGCACCAAGTTTACTGGACAAGGTGTGATGCAGGATATTTTGACACAAAACTCTCAAAATGCCCACGGTCCCCTCCTTGGCATTCCTGCCTGACAGACAGAGGGACACAAACACACCAACATATTAAGCCTGGGCTTTCAGTTCATGCCATGAGTTCAGGCTCAGACTAAGACTCAGGAAGAACGGGAGCTGTCGCGAGGTCAGTCCACAGGGCAAAGCCAAGGCATCTGCTCTCAGAAGGCATCTCTTCTGTCAGGGTTCCTCCCCTCCTTAGTCCCTGTCCATGTGTTGTGCATATAAGTTCTTTGGCTTCTCCATTTCCTATACCATCCTTCACCTCTCCCTGTCTATTTTCTACCTACCAATTATGCTTTTTACTCCCTGTACCTTTCCCCCCTTCTTTCCCTTTCCCCTCCCAGTTGATAACCCTCCCTGTGATCTCGTATCTATGATTCTGTTCCTGTTCTAGTTGTTTGGCTTAGTTGGTTTGTTTTTTTAGGTTCAGTTGTTGATAGTTGTGAGTTTGTTGTCATTTTACTGTTCATAGTTTTGGTCTTTTTCTTAGATAAGTCCCTTTAACATTTCATATAATAAGGGCTTGGTGATGATGAACTCCTTTAACTTGACCTTGTCTGGGAAGCACTTTATCTGCCCTTCCATTCTAAATGATAGCTTTGCTGGAGACAGTAATCTTGGATATAGGTCCTTGCCTTTCATGACTTCAAATACTTCTTGCCAGCCCTTTCTTGCCTGAAAGGTTTCTTTGGAGAAATCAGCTGATAGTCTTATGGGAACTCCTTTGTAGGTAACTGTCTCCTTTTCTCTTGCTGCTTTTAAGATTCTTTCCTTATCTTTAATCTTGGGTAATGTAATTATGATGTGCCTTGGTATGTTCCTCATTGGGTCAAACTTCTTTGGGACCCTCTGAGCTTCCTGGATCTCCTGGAAGTCTATGTCCTTTGCCAGACTGGGGAAGTCCTCCTTCATTATTTTTCCAATTAAGCTTTCAATTCTGTGCTCTTCCTCTTCTCCTTCTAGCACCCCTATGATTCGGATGTTGGAATGTTTAAAGTTATTCTGGAGGTTCCTAAGCCTCTCCTCATTTTTTTGAATCCGTGTTTCTTCATTCCGTTCCAGCTGTTTATTTCTTCCTTCTGTTCCAAATCATTAATTTGAGTCTCGGTCTCCTTCCCTTCACTGTTGGTTCCTTGTATATTTTTATTTCACTTTCTATAGCCTTCACTTCTTCCTCTTTTTTTTGCGGCCATACTCAATCATTTCTGTAGGCATCCTGATTACCAGTGTCTTGAACTCTGAATCTGACAGATTGGCTATCTCCTTGTTGCTTAGTCCTTTTTCTGGAGTTTTGATCTGTTCTTTTATTTGGGTCATTACTTCTTTATCTCAGCGCACCTCATAACGAGGGGTAGGGCCTTAGGTATTCACTGGGGCGGGGCAACCCACTTTGCTGCATTGTGGCACTGTTATGTGGGGGTGCAGTCAGAGAGGGAACAATGCTGTTTGCTTGGCTCTTGCCCCATTTTCAGGCACTTCCTCCACTACCCACAAGTGAATTGGGCCCTTCTAGCATGGATTCCCAGGTGGGAGGGTTTGTGTACATTCTAGGACCCTGGGGGACCTTCCAACAGACTGTCCTGTGAGACTGGGAGTTTTTCCGACTGCTGCAACCCCTACTAGTTTTTACAGTCAGGGGTTTTGAGGCTTTATTTCCCTGCCCTGGAATCCTGGGTTGCATGGTCTGTGTCATTCCCCCGTTGTTCCTTCCCAGTTTACCCACGCATGAATGTGGGACTGCCCAGTCCGCCAGCCTCCACCTCGCCTGCCTGATCAGCCAGCTGCTGCCTTGACGCATATCTTTTCTGTCCCAACTGCCCATCTCCACCCTTACTACTGGTCTGGATGAATGTTTCTTCTTTAACTCCTTGGCTGTTGGACTTCCAAACAGTTCGATTCTCTGGCAGTTCTGTTTTTTGGGTTTTTTAAAATTTTTAAATTGGCTGTTGTCCTTCTTTTGGTTGTATGAGGAAGCAAAGTATATCTACCTACGCCTCCATCTTGGCTGGAAGTCTGTTGTAGTTGCTTTTAATGAGCAAAGTTGTCCTTTTATTATACTCATGCACTCAAGCCTCATGGCCTCATAATTCAGCTTAATCCTGGGATACACACCAATTTTCTAACTGGTAAGTCTTTAAGGGCTCTGATCCTTTGATTGTGTTTGGGGTGAAGAAACCCAAAGGCAGTGAGAGCCTTCAGTTGTGAACATTAACAGAGAAAATGACCCAGGGTTAAAGTACAGACCATTCTAGGCAGAGCCAGATCTCACAGGAAGTGGGACACCAGGGCCTCTCTCCACAGGCAGGCAAGGTATTTGGAGGGAGGTCGGGTAGGGGCCACCCAGCAATCAACATGAGCTGAGAGAGGCTGTTTCCATAGTGAACAAGCCACAGGCCCAAGTCAGGCACAAACACCAGGACCCCACAGAAGGGCATCAGCCAGGAAGGCATGGTCCCCAAGGCGAGGATGTGAAGAGTTCTTTTGCTCAAAGAACTTCTCAGGAGGGGAGCCTAGAGGCAGGCTTTCAAGAGTAAACAGAACCCCAGTGCCACAGCTCAGGATACCCACCCGAGCCAAAAACATGCCTGGGCACTCCCACCACCCATAGCCCCTCTTTCTCCAGCCCTTAGGCCTTGGGCCTCCTGAAGAGCATGTGCAGTTCACAGAGTCACATGTCTAACTAAGGACCTCCCACAGGCTCTAGCCCAGGGTTTTTTAATGTGAGTCAGGACCCGCAAGACTACAGGGGTGGTCCAGACAGGAGATATCTGAGGCTTTGCAGGACATATGGTCAAGTACCCAGCTCTGCTGTGGTAGCTTGAAAGCAGCCACAGACAACATGTAAATGAATGGATGTAGCTGTGTTTCAACAAAAATTAATTTATAAAAGAGGGCAGCCAGCCTAGGGGCCAGGGTTTGCTGACCCTTTATTAGAAGGTTATGAAGTAGTAGGAAAAACCAATGACTTCTTTTAATAAAACAGAATAAAAAAAGAAAATATCAGTGTGCACTATATCTGGAAGATATAGTAAAGGTTAGTATGGTTTTGTAAAAACTTTCGTTTCAACTTGTTTGTATGCAATTTATGTATACTTACAGTACCGGATTGCCATGAAAAAAAATTACTGTGCAATTCAGTCAAAAAGTTTGAAGGCCAATTCTCTGACCCAGTCCTTTCTCTTACATAAATGGAAACTGAGTAACAGAGAGGTGAAGGATCTGACCAAGGTCACCCAGCTCATTGGTGGCACACCTGGAATTAGAACCCAGGTCTCCTGGTTGTCATCTCAACGATCCTTTGCTATTCCCATGGCCTCTTCCCTCATATAGAAACTGAACACAAATACCGAGCCACCTTCTTCCTGGTTCTGACCCCTGCTCCCCTCCCAGGTGGCACCAGCAGAGGTGTGCAGGACCCAGAGCTGGAGGGGCAGCTACCCTGAGGCTGGCCAGGCTCTGGGGGGTGCACTGCAGCAGCAGCAGCACCCTGAAGAGCACATCGAGACTGAAGCGTGGCTCCACCAAGCACAGAGCTGGCAGGAAGGGGGCTTCAGCCCCCCAGGAGGCAGAGGGGTGAGGGAAGGCAGGATACCTGAGAGGAAACCTGTGTTGTTGCTGGGCGGACCTCTGGGTGAACAGGGCAGAAGGATGCCACTTATAGTGAAAGAAAAACTGATGTGGAAACAGGAAGGGAAGAAAGCCAGACGGAAGGCCAAGATGAAGGAAAAGAGGCACAGATGGTGAGATCGGGTGAGCAGTGTGATTAGGTGCTCTAAGTGCAAGGCCTGGGGCCTGTTCCCAGTGCCCCCCCTTCACAATCCCCAGCTGCCCCACCAAGAACCTGAACAACTAACTCTAGCCCAAAAGAGAAAGGTCACTCACAGGGGGCATAAAACATCATCAGGACTGGCTTCTCTTCCTTCTTCAGAAGTCGTCGGAAGTCCTGAGGCACAAACAGAGAAGACCACAGGTCACACACAAGTCAGTGACAGAGGTCCCATCCGCCTGGGGCTCACAGTGGTGTGGGGAGCAGGCGAGCACTTCAGAAATCCCACTGTCTGATGCGCGGTCGTGCGCTGTAGCACAGGGTCATGGTATGCAGGGGCTGAAAGAACCCTAGTGACGATCTATTCTAGACCACTCTTACATGTTACAGATGAGGAAACTGAGACCCTGAGCAGACAAATGGCCTTCCCAAGGCCACCTGTTGGGATGACTGAATAGGACCAGGCTACCAGCTTTACTTTCGGCAACACCTGAACAATTAAAAGTCTGCGGGAAGCTTTTTATGCCACATGAGGCTGTCAGCTAGGCTGCCCCTCTTCATGTGGTCTACAGTGCAGTGGTGTTGTGGTGGGTGGCTGCCTTCATATAGGCCCGACTTGGCCAGACACAGGGTTAACCTACGCCTGCTGATCTCTTCCCCACGCTCCTGCCACCACCGTCCATGTCCACTGGGGGCACAGGACGAAACATGTGCCCCCACCCCCAGGAGGTTACAAGCTAAACCAATCGTTTGTGTTTGTAAATCCTTTAGAACAGTTCCTGACATATTATTAGGCAATATATAATTACTGATTAAATAAATATAATGAAAGTAAAAAGACAAAGATCATAACAGTGCTAATGGAGAGACTTCTGTGTAAAGCAGGGTTGGAGACCATTTTTCCAATAAGAGTCAATGATGTTCGGGAAAAAACAAATCTATTAAGGACTGCAAAGCAGCACCATGACAGCACATTTTGATTAAAATAAGCTCCTCTAACCCGTTTACATAGAAGAAAATTAAAGTTTTTCTCTTCTGAATAATAAGGAAAATAAGAGGAAATTTCAAAATGCAGCTTTGTGGCAGCAACAAGACATTAAGTAAATAGATGATGGTACATCCCACACAATGTAATATTGCTACATCATTATAAACTACAAAGAGGAATATTTAATGTCACAATAATATGTGCACATTACATTAAGTGGTAGGGGCGAAACAGCATATAACATCTAATGACACTTTTGTTAATATATATGTACTGCATTATGTTGAAAACCTAAAAAGCTACAGAAAATAGCAGCGATGGCACTTCTCAAAGGGAAAGGTGGGGTGAATTTTTTCTTTCCTTTACATTAAAGCTATATTTTCTAAATTTTCAATAACAAATATGTATTACTTATAATTTTTCAGCTATATGAAAATTACAAATATTTTTGGGAATTTAAAACATTTTGTAATAAATTCTGAAGATATATAACTGAGGGTAAAGACACTCTTTTTAAAATATTATTAAATTTATTGGGGTGACACTGGTTAATAAGATTATATAAGTTTCAAGTGTACACTTCTATAATACATCATGTGTACACTGCATTGTGTGTTTCCACCCAAAGTCCAGTCTCCTTCTGTCACCATATATTTGTCGCTTTTACTCTTTACTATCCCCTCAACTCCCCTTTCCCTCTGGCAACCACTAAAGTATTGTCTATGAGTTTTTTTCTTTGCTTGTTTGCTATGTTTGTTGCTTTCTGTTTTATATACCACATGAGTGAAATCATGTGGTGGTTTTTCCATCTGTCTTATTTCGTTTAGCATGATATTCTCAAGATCCATCTGTGTTGTCAAAAATGGCAGTATTTCATCTTTTCTTATGACTGAGTAGTATTCCAGTGTGTGCATTGTGTGCATGTATGTGTGTATATATTTCTAGTCACAGAAGAGTAATCTTAGGAGTCTGGGGACATGCACATATTGGGGGAAGGAGGTGCCAGGCTACCAATGAACAATGGGTAAAACTACATATTACCACAAAATCCACCCAGGACCAGCAATCCTTTTAAGTCGTTCACTTTTACATACAGGCACAGGTCCCCCCACCTCCTGGCACCTGACCCTCTTTCCTTGCCCCCAAAGTGGTTTTTATAAAGGATTTAGTGGGGGTGATCACATGGTATAAAAATGCTGAACATTATATAATAACCTGAAACAAATATAACCAACATGAGATTGTGTACTAACTATATTTATATTTTTCTTAAAAGGGCTCTATCATCTAGCTGCTGATACTGGCACTTTCTATCCTAGAGAAACACTGAGGTCCGGCCCCTCACTCCAATCACCACAGACCCAATTGGTTAGCCTGCGATGATTACACAAGGCCCCGTCCTCCACAAAGTATAAATGGCATCGCTTTCCTTTGGGGTATTAATAATAGCCAATAATTTTAAATGAAAGAGGAAGAGAGGCATAGGAAGATAAAAGGTGCATTTGATGTTGCCAAGATAAGAACGGACATTCTCCCTCCATCTACAAAAAAAGCACTTCTTGCTCCACAGACCCTTTGAAATGTCAAAAAGAAGTTCCTGCCCATCCCTGTGTGAAGGCACAGCCAAGCAAGTAAGAGCATGATGCACATACAGGTACACAGGGATATAGATGCACATTAAGGTCAGATGGGCAGGCTTCCAAAGGAGGGTCACGATTGTATGGAGACAATAAATCAGAACTACCCTTCCACCCCTCCAACCTCCCATCCTGGCCAAACCCCAAAAATGAAGCTTAAGAGGGTAAATAATTTGTTCAAAGTTACACAATGACTCAGAATCGTAGAGACCTGACCCAAGCCTCCCAGATTCTTCTTAAAGAACAAAAAAAACTTAAAAAAAAGGAAAAACACAAAGCCAAATCCAACAACCACCAGATTATATAATAAGAAAATGCTAAAAATGTTAAAATACATTAAATAAGAGCAAAGAATGGAAGAAGCTCTCAGGCAGCGAGCCTGTGATCTGCTGGTTCCATCATGAGGCCGGGAAGGAGCATCAGATATGAGGGCCCTGGCCCAGCTCCCTTGGAGGACGGCATAGCTGGCCAGGGACCACTCCCATTTCTCAGTTCCTTGGGCACCTCTCTTTGGGAAACTGGTTCCGGGGAAGCTCTAGCATCCATCAGAATTGATGGGAAATATATTACCTTTTCACTGTCAATATGGACAACATCTTTGGCTCCAGGATCTTCCTCCCACAGTGGGGGCCCTTTGGGGTCCTTCAGAAAGGCCACTATGGACTGAAGAAGAAAGAAGGCAAAAGTGAATTTAGTCAGGAAAAGGGGGATGTGGGGGAATCGGGATCCAGCCTGTTTCCCTGCCTGGACACCCAAGTGCCTGGAATGGAACTTCATGTGGCATACGGGCTCGTGCTTGGGAGTGTGCCATTCCATCCCTGCTAAGGGCCCTAAAAATGCACCCCATCATCCCTACCATCCCCACCAGGATTTTTCAGTCACATGAAACCTTACTCTGGTCGGCTGATCCATACCTACTATGCTTCTTCATGGACCAAAAAAGGGAAATTTGAGACAATTAGTTGGCTTATTCAAACCAGAGACACACTTGTGCTTCTACTAAATCTCACCTCCTCCCGAAAGTCTCCCTGATTACTTTGAATACAGGTTTTCAGTCCTGTCCAAAGTAGAGACTTTCATGCAGCCACAAAAAATGTCAACCACATAGGCAGGTAATCACACCTACTTGTAGCCTGCTTGCTATTTCATGATCTAAACTGGCTTGAGAATGCGTTAAATCCTGATCCTCCTCTGTGGAGCTTGAACAGTAAGCCCCAGGGCAGGGGGCTCAACTCTGTGGTTAGCTGGTTGCTGCACTTCTCTCCTTGGACCCCTTTCTAGACAATCCAGGATGAACATATGACAAAGAGCTTCAAGATAAAGGACTTAACTAGCCTTTGTCATGTGGACAACTGACTCAGATCTCTGCTCCCCTTGGAGAAGACACACATGGGGCATGGAACAGGGGCACATCCCGCCACTCCCTTCTCCTCCTATCACACTTCCTGGGTCCAGGACAGACGCAGCACTCCCTCTCCTCTCAGTCATTCTGGGAAATGACTAAGAACCAAGAATGGGTACCAGAAACCAGCCAGCCTCCTCCTCTACCCTGGAGGGGAGTTGTGGCCTTCATTTCAACAGACAGAACCCTCAGTATCCCCCAATTTGATTCAAGATTCTGTTACTTTTGTCCACTTTGATCAAGCTCCAAGGAGGACATGACCAATTACGTGTGTCCATTAGCATGTTGGGGGAGGAAGGGAGGTCTGGGGTGAGAAAAGGAAAGACCATCTTAGTGAGGCTACGCGGTTAGCCTGTCCACTGTCACACACGGACAACCAGTGAGGCTTATAATTTCTGGAAACTGCTATTTGGAAAGAGCTGTTATGGGAGAATGAGCAACAGCCAAGACTTCATAGGATTTCACTCAGAGAGTGCTTTCTGTCCATCCAAATGGAGCTCTGAAACACCTCCTGGCAAGAGAAGGGCCATTTCCACCATGGCAAAGGCAGATCTGCCCTTTCCCAGTCCTTTGTCAAAGCTTCATAGCAACAGTACAAGTCAAAATGAAACTGGCAGGGCCGTCCTGAGACCCATACTCACCCACAGCTGCAGGGGCACCTGCAGGGCCATGTGAGAAGCATGTTTATAGGTGCCTATCTGCATACTGTTACAGAAAAGCTGGTGCAGGGGGGTCTCAATCTAGGGTGCACACTGGACTGACTTCAAGAGCCTGTGAAACCCTAGACCCATATGAAAACACTGACCTTAATGTATGCATGTGCAGTTTCCAAGGAGAGGGTCTGTGGCTTTCAGGTGACTGTCAGTGGGATGAGAAACCCAAACTAGGTAGGAACTACCATGCTGGAGGGCTCCTGTCTCATACCAGCATGAGCCTGTCAAAGGGTTAACGTAGCTGCCCCATGCCCTCCACCCCACCGCAGCATCAAGGAGAAAAGATGGATATAGATGAAAAAAGGAAAGAAATAGCCTCTTTTTCAATTATTATTATTATTAGTTTTAATCCTCGCCCTAGGATATGTTTGTTAATTTCAGTGACAGAGGCAGGGCGGGGGGGAGGCAGGGGTGGAGAGAGAAACATCAACTGGTTGCCTCCTGGACACATGCGGACCGGGCACCGAACCTACAGCCTTTTGGTACGGGATAACACTTCAATCAACTGAGCCGCCTGGCCAGGGAGGAAATAGCCTTTTTTAATGTAACAACTGAAACATTCATATTGGCAATATTTTGCTTTTCAGGTAGATATTATTCTTCCTTAATTGAAGTTGAAAAATCCCATTCATAGGTTTTTCTCCAAAGTGTTCTAACTGACAAGATCCTGGGTGGAAAAGTCTGCAGGGAGCAGCACCTGGAGCCCCACTCTCAGCCTTCCTATTCTGGGTGCTCTGATCCCAGGGAAATGGCCCAAAAGCTGCACCTTAATGGTGACTTCATTCCAGGGAAACTCCACTTATAGCTAAAGAGCCTGGGAGAATGTCATGAGAGAGCCACCTGAATTTTAGTTTCTAGACACCTTTGGTCTTTACCACTTATACACAGGGAGGATTCTGGGGGGCAGACTGCTGACAACCAGAAGGCCACTTACACAAGAAGTTCCCTCTGAATTTCCTGCTCTTTAACTTCATTTATCTGGCCTCTGGCCTCTTTAGGGGCTAAAGCATATTCCCTGTGACCAGGCCCCTGCTAAGTTGTACAGGATGACAGCAACAATAGTCAGTGCATGAGCCCGAGACTGCACCCCACCTCCATCCCTCTGGAGCCAGAGGCCCAGGAGGAAACCCAGAAAGGAAAACTAATCCATGACCAACGAGGGCCTTAGTCTTGGCTGCTCCTGCAGAAAAGCAGAGTTGTCAGGCAGTCACGGGAACACTACATCACTTCCCCCTGCCCTGGAGACCTTCAGGGACTCTACCCTATCCCTGATGGCCCTGCAGGCTTTGGGGGCTCTGGGGCCAAGGAAGCCCTCTCTCCACCAAGACTCTGCCCTGGTATAATGCTCTGCCCACATCTCCAGTTTATTGATGTACAAATCACTGAAGAATGAAACTGTACACTTCCTAGTCTTTGTAAGGAAGTGAATGAAGGCCAGGACTCGGCCACCCCACCCAGGCAAGCTCAGATCACCAGGGCTCCTCACTCCTTTCCTGCTACTACAGTTCTGAGCAGCTGCTATCCCCTGGTCCAAAATCACAATATAGACTTCTCAGAGGGATGGCTAAATACACACTGAACACGACTTCCAAAAACAGAAGCCCCCGCCGTCCCCCACAATCCCCATCTATCTCTCAGCATATAGGCACTTTCCCCACCCCACCCAGCTAAATCTTGTTCTGGGGGAGCACATGTTCTCTTACTCAGCTGACATCTTAACACAGAATAAGAGGGGTTAAGCAACTTTAATTGATAGAATTGTCTCTAAGTTCCTAAGTGGGTGTCAAGATGATGTGTAATCAGGCTGAATCTATAGCACATAAAAGCTGAGGCAACTGAAAAATGAAGCAGTGCTAGAGGATAAACAAGAGATGACCAGGGAGCTGGTGGGGACGGGGCACTGACAGCTGCAGGACCTGATGGACAGACATGCAGGAACGGAAGGAGACACAGATGGGGAGAGACAGAGAGGAGTACAGGGCCGAACCCCGTCTGGGAAGCAGGAAGGTCAGAATGAGTGAGATCAGCAGATTTGGGAACAGAAGAAATACATGGCGCCAGCCAGGGCAGGGGAGCGCTGCCTGGACCAGAGGCAGAAAAAGGCTGGTTTGAGGAAGGAAATGCATATGTGAAGGAGCAGAATCCAAGGGCAGGAGAAGGGCTCAGGGCAGCGACTTTGTGATAATAAAACAGCATCTGCAGGTCACAGGATCTCCATATTCATGTTCACTAATGTTTTTCTGTCAACTTCTAAATTGGATTTGGAGCAGGGAAAATCTTGGTGACATCAGCATCTCATCTGGAACAAGCTGCATCTGCCTGCAGGTGCCAACCTGCCGGTGTCCTACATAGTATGCTAACCTGGGCAGAGCAAGCCCCCTCCAGCACGTGGGCAGCCACTGTGGGCACTGCTGCAGAGAAGAGGGAGGGCCTGAAGCCACAGCAAAGGGAGACTTGGGCCTTTGGAGGGGAGAGGTGTGACGTCACCTGTCTAACTGCTAATAGAGTCACAGACTAACCACAAGTCTGGTCATCCCTATTGTATTAACAGTTACAAACTTTCCCAGATATTCTGCTGACATAAGCTCTAGAGATAAGAATCCCTCAGGTCCTTCAGAAGAGCTATTTGTGCACTCTGCCCTTCCTTCTTTCAGAGAGAAGCTGCCAGACTTTTGGCATCCATTCAAACACCAGCTCTGCTGAGAACGAGGGAGGTAAATTTACCTTAAATGTCACAGCTCGGTTATATTCAGTATGAAATGCACCATCCCTGTCAAACAAGGAGAAAAAGGTATTAACTTTAGAAATGGCTGTAAAGAGACGTACCTTTGGTTTCCTGCAGCATCTTAATAAGATTCAGCCATTGAACACAGTTCAACATTTTTTTAAAAAGAAATAATTGTAAACAGAAAAAAATCATTCAGAAATAAAATTAATCTAACTAACAACTCCTGTTCAATGAGAATACCAATAAAAGCTTTCAGTGCTTACTTGGAAATTGGAAATGACCATGTGTACTTACTGGTAATGGAATAATTCAACCTTTTTGTCCTTTGGGCTCAGGTCAACTTTCATCTTCTTGCATAACTTTCTACTCTCTGTGTCACTGAAAGACACAAATGTCAAGAACCATTTGTTGTCTGTGGCTTTCACAAAGGTATCGACAAAGTAAAATCTGCCGGTGGCCAAAGAATAAACCCAGTAACTTGGAATTCTCAATAGCAAGTGAGACCTGACTGTAGATGGGTTCTCAGAGAACTGGAAGGAGCAGAGTAACCACGACGACATGGACTGATCAGGAAAGATGGACCAGCGGTTGCGGGGGCTGTATCACTAGTCATCAGGGGCAACACTGGGAGGGCCAGACAAAGGAAGTGCACCAGATGCTTAGGGGGCGGACAGCCCATTCTAAGAAGAAAAATAAACTCAGTATAGATTGGTGGTTCCCAATCCTGGCTGCTCATTAGAATCACCTGGGGAAGTTCAAAAAATTCTGATTTCATGCCCATCCCCAGATCACTACTTCAGAATCTCTGCCTGGGGCCCGAGCAAGGGTTTTTTTTCAAGCTCCAAAGTGTGCCATATGCCACCTGCTACAGACCATCTGAACAGGATAGGAGGAAAGTTCTACAATATTAAAAGAATTTTGAAATCTGACCAGGAACTGACAAAAGTCAAAAGGAGAATGGGAAAAACTTCAGTGAAGCACTCGAGTCTGCAATAATCGCCCTCTCGCAATTCTTCTAATAAAAATTGTCTGTCAGATGCCATTCACTGTTTATAAAGTGTTCACGCATGATCTCATCAAGTCGTGGTTACCTTCCTGTTAGACCAATGTACCTCAAAGTGTGGCCCTTGGACTAGCAGTCTCGGCATCACCCAGGAAACTGTTAGAAATACAAACACTCAGCCCCATGCCAGGCCTACAGAATCAAAACTGCGTGGACACTGGAGCAATTGTGTTTTAAAGAAGCCCCCGAGTAATCCGATGCCTGCCACCATCCTGACTCCTCCTCCTCTCTCCCAGCTCCATGAGGCTGGGCTTCCCCTGTGCCCTATGCCAACCCCCGCCTCAGAGACCTCACCTGCTCTCATATATTCCCCACGATCTCACCACACTCAGCCAAGTGTGCCCAACAGCCAGCAAAGGCAGCCAGCCACCCCACCCATGCAGGGCTCTGCTCCTTGCTTTAGGGCCCTCTCCCCAGATCCGAGTGGACTGGCCTCTGCTGACTACACTACATGAGAAACTTTGTTTTTCCAGGTATGAAGGCCATCTGAGGGAAGTCCTTTCATCTCCTACCTGTTTACATACCTCACTGCCTTTTATAGCCATCAGCTTCACACAGCTGTGCACCAGCCCCAGAACAGATGGATTAATTAAGCCATTCAGCTCAATTCTAAGCAACACTCATCAATGCACAAACAAAACTGTGGAACCTCATTTTAAGTCTTCTTAGATTTAAAATGAACCATGTTTTCCTAGAGAGGTGTGCGTGGGTCAGAGAGGGGGGTGTCAGGCACTAGCAGAGCTACCCGCCAGCCCCCCCGCCCTCTGACCCCAGGCCTTTCCCTCTCTGTTCAGTCCTGCCTGTGGCAGCCATCACTGTGCCGCTGCAACCTGCAGCTCCCAGCCTCAGGCCTAGCGAATAGCGGGAACTCAGAAACGCATGATGCATTCAGAAAGGAAGGGCTAATGACATTGCAATGGTTGCTCCTCCAAGGTGGTGAGGGCATCTTAAAATAGGGTTCCAGAAAAAAGGGATAAGCTGGGGGTGGGAAGGAGACCCAGAGGGCTGAGAGTATACACCAGAAGGCCAGTGCCTGTCAAAATGGAGGTATAGGCAAACATGGCCTGCCTCCTCGCAAAACCACAGCAAAAATTACAACTAGGCTACAAAACAAATATCATCCAGAATCATCAGGAAATCGAGCTGTATGGAAGTCCAACAATCAAGGAATTAAAGAAGCCACATTCATCTAGGCAGGTAGGCAGGGTGGAGATGTGTGGAGACACAGAACTGGCAGGCCCACGCCCTCAAGTGGTGGATAAAAATCGGGAGGGATACCTTGGGAGCGAGGGATCCCAGCCCCACACCAGACCACCCAGCTCAGGATTCCAGAGCCAGGAAGATAAGTCCCCATAACTTCTAGCTGTAAAAACCAGTGGAGGTTGGGGGCAGCAGAAGAAACTGCAGGATTCTCAGGAGACTCCTCTTAAAGGGCCCCCAAAGGTCTCAGGACTTATGCAGACCCACCCGCTCTGGGATTTAGCACAAGGGCAACAGCTGGAAGGGCATCAGTGGCATAGGGGGAGAAACTGAGTGTCTGACATTGGATGAGTACCGGGGACAGCTTCCTCCAGGACAAACCTCCATAGGCCAGGCAGTGGCACTGTCCCCTCTCTGAGCCCTCCGCCACACAGAGCCACAGAGCAGTGATGCCGGTTGCCCTACCCTGGTGATTACCTAAGGCTCCACCCCATCCAACTTACTGGTACACTTTTTTACAATTGGCCAAGCTACTAAGATATGAAGTCAAAGAAGCTCTATCTAATACACATAAACAAACACAGGGAGGCCATCAAAATGAGGAGACAAAAGGAATATGGCCCAAATGAAAGAACAGAGCAAAACTCCAGAAACAGAACTAAATGAAATGGAGATAAGCAATCTATCAGATGCAGAATTCAAAACATTGGTTATTAGGATGCTCAAGGAACTCACTGGGCACTTCAGCAACATAAAAAAGGCCCAGGCAGAAATGAAGGTTACACTAAGTGAAATACAGAAAAATTTACAGGGAACTAACAGTGGAGTGCACGAAGCTGTGAATGAAATCAATAATTTGGAACATAAAGAAGAAAAAAACATTCAATCAGAACAGCAAGAAAAAGAATCCAAAAACAAAACAAAACAAAAAAAAAACAATGACCAGTTAAGGAGCCTCTGGGACATCTTCAAATGTACCAACATTCGAATCATAGGGGTGCCAGAAAGAGAAGAGAAAGCAAGAAACTGAAACTTATTTGAAAAAATAATGAAAGAAAACTTCCCTAATTTGGTGAAGGAAATAGACATACAAGTCCAGGAAGCAGAGAGTCCCAAACAAGATGGACACAAACAGGACAACACTAAAACACATTATAATTAAAATGCCAAAGGTTAAAGATAAAGAGAGAATCTTAAAAGCAGGAAGAGAAAAGGAGAGAGTTACCTACAAAAGAGTTTCTATATAACTGTCAGCTAATTTCTGAAAAGAAACTTTGCAGGCAAGAAGGGACTGGCAAGAGGTATTCAAAGTGATAAAAAAACAACAAACTACAACCCAGATAATTCTATCCAGCAAAGCTATCATTTAGAATGGAAGGGCAGATAAAGTGCTTCCCAGGCAAGGTAAAGCTAAAGGAGTTCATCATCACCAAGCCATTATTATATGAAATGTTAAAGGGACTTATTTAAGAAAAAGAAGATCAAAACTATGAACATTAGGGAGATATTAAGACTAGTGTAGGAAATAGAGAAGCCAAAGAACTTATATGCATGACCCAAGGACATGAACTAAAGGGGATGGGGACTGCCAGAAGGAATGAGGGTGCTGGTTGGAGATAGACAAAGAGGGGAAAATTGAGACAATTTAAAAAAAGAAAAAAATAAAGTTACTAAAAAAGTAGATCTTAAAAGTTCTCAGTAAACAATGAAAAAAAATTGTAACTATATCATGATAGATGATCACTAGACTTATTGTGGTGATCATTTCACAATATATACAAATATGGAATCATGTTGGACACCTGAAACACACATTATATGTGAATTATATCTCAATGAAAAATTAAACCATAAAAAAATAAAAGAAAAAGAAGGCTGCTGTAAGGGCAGCCCACTGCACCGTTGCTGGAAACTTCCCGGGAAGCCCTGTGGAGATGCCACCCATGCCTCCACGGACAACAGCTCTTAGAGTCTGGGTCTGCCCCATCCTGCAGGCTGTGGCAAAGCTACACAGACAGGAAGTAGGTTTGTCTGAGAACAACTGTGGCTGCGGTGCACTTCCTCGGCCTGAGTTAATTCCCCAGAAGACAGGGCTCAACTAAGGATGTTTACAACTGTTCCTTGGCACTCTCTTAGGCCAGCTTTGTTTGGCTGCACTCAACTGTTTCTGTGACCACCTTCCATCCACTCAAGTGCAACAACAAACAGCACCTGGAGAAGGAATCAAACCACCGTGGGCCTCCCTCCACCGCACCCTGCATCCAGTTGTGCCTGTGGTGGCCACTCAGACTCTGCCAGGCAGCCACTGGAGGGGAGAAGAGCCACCCCGTGCTGGCTCTCTCTTCCATCGAGCCTGGCTGGCAGGGGTTGTCACAAATCAGAGAGGAGTGACTGGGTTCAGAGTTATCCCAGAACCCCATTCCTGCCTGCTCTGCTGGAACCCACTCCCTGGGAAAGTCTTCTGCAGCCCTGGATCCCCTTTGAGGCCAGGCCAGGCTTAGGAGCAATGCTCCAAACTGGCCAACTTGCCTGAGTGGATCTGGGAGGCTTGTTTCTCAGTGTGGACCCCCGCCTGCAGCCTGTGGTCCCAACTCCAGAAGAGTTAATCACAGCTCTGCCTCTGCCACAGGACTCGTTGTTGAAGACTCCATGCAATCTTCTTCCCCCCTCGGGTTCTACAACACTCCCCAAGGATTCTCCCCTATCCCCTAAGCACATACACACATGCAAATGCATACATCCTCACAGGGGTGGGCGGGGCGTGCAGGCAGCTTCCTGTGTTCTCTGAGCACCTCTGCCATCCACCTCCAGCACTCCCTTCCCTGCCGTCTCTCTCCACCGCGCATCTCCACATCTGGCCAGCGTGTCCACTGACAGTCACCCCCATCAAAAAGTTTGCTCCATGAAGGTGAGGGCTTTGTTTTGTTCACGGCTGTTTCCCCTGGGTCACAAGAGCAGCTGGCACCAAGCAGGCACTCTATACTCACCTGAGGGAATGAGTGAATGACTGATGCTGTCTTGTTGCTGCTTGGGAGGAGCCTCTGCACTGCTGGCTTTCTGGGCCCCAGGATCTGTCTACGGAGCTCCAGGAATCCCACCAGGTGACACTTCTGGA